AAACTGGATTCTTTATTTAATGTGGAACCATGAATACAAATCAAGCTGTTACATGAGATCTTTTCAAAGAGGCAGTGTTACGTCCCCCTCTAGGGGTAGAGGGAAACTACACACACCCGTTGGAATTGGTATAATTATAAGGGAGTTTATAACAAAAGAACAAAATGGCAGACAAGCAGCCAGGAGCAAACAAAAAGGCCAACAGGGCGCCGATTTAAATGGATAACCAACAAAGGGAGGACTCTAATAAGTGAGCCTACAAAGTGAGCCTATACAAAGGAATATACATAATAAACAAAATAACCCTCACTATCACAGTGGTACAAACTAATGAAAAGGAGGCTGTAAGAAAACACAGCTAAGCTAAATAACTACACTCAACGTAAAGGCTAAGCTACTCTAGTCACATCTAATCATAACAACACTACTGAACACAGACCACACAAGTTAACCACTGCTAACAGATTTATACACAAACCAAGAGCAAGTAGCGAGAGGCGTCTGTTCACACAACAGAGCCTCCAGAGTGATCGTCAGTCACAGGGTGTTTCTCAATCGCGAGTACGCTTGCTTGGTAGCACATGTCTGCCGAGCATCTTGCTTCAGAAGCGAGTCAAGAATACTTCCTGGCATTCGGAAAACGAAGGCTAGCAAGTGTGCAGGTGTGCGTCATATGATAGGCCCCGCCTTACATCTTCCGCCACAGATTTGAGGAAATTGGTCCATGCGCAAAGCATTGTGGGGATTTTAAGACCGCGGAGTCTACTCATGTGCAGCCTCGATATTTCTCCAAACGGAGTACGCCGGGCTCGGTAGATTTCCAAGTATGCTGGAGATTGGAACAGTACTTCGGCGGCACTCGATGACGTAGTATGCTTGAAATAGTGGCTCTGAAGCAGCTTTACTCGCGATTGAGAAACACCCACAGGCTTTGAAGTCATCTCCAGCAGGTATGCGCCGGCTGTGCGCTGCGATTGGAGTGCGTCGGGCCGGCGTGCTCCAATCACAATCTTCGGGGGCACCCCCACAATGCTTTGCGCACGGACCAATTTCCCCAAATCTGTGGCGGAAAATGTAAGACGGGGCCATGACGCACACCTGCACACTTGCTAGCCTGTTCCACTCATCGTTTTCCGAATGCCAGCAAGTATTCTTGCCTCGCTTCTGAAGCAAGATGCTCGGCAGACATGTGCTACCAAGCAAGCGTACTCGTGATTGAGAAACACCCAGTTAAGACGACCAGGAAGGCGGCAGCCGTAACGGGCGTTCAAAGTTCATTTAACAGTCCTTTGGACATTTCAGTGAGTGATGGCTGTGAAAGTAAAGAAGAAATGGAGTTACACAGTTTAAATGGACAAATAAATATGTAAATGTGATCAGCCATTAAAGACATTATTCTGTCTAATGCCACTCTCCTTTTAGATTTACAAAAAGGATGAATTGCCGACTCGGACTTTACATTTTTGTCAAAATGAATCATGTAAATTAAGGTAGCTACTGTATAAGAAAACTTGCAACGCTGAATTTGTATTCTGGTGTGAAACCTTTTAACAATCTGTATCAACAACCTTTTTTTCTTTCACGTGTGTTGAACAACATATATATCTACACTTTAAAATCTTCTCACCAACAGGCTCAACTTGCTGCTTTGTGTGAACCAAATGAACTTGTGTACGACATAGTAATCTTTGAGAGCCCATTATGTAGTGAAACATGAAACAGTGAATGCTGTCAGCACTGAGGGGGAACACCATGCTGTTTGAGGACAGCTACACTTCACTGACTCTGTGTGTTTGCATATGTGTCCTGCCTCTCTGCTCCCAGACGTTAAGAGGCCAGAGGTGATCAGCGGCTGTCCAGACCTTTCAGAGCCACTGACACACCGGCAGCACAATGATGATGTCACTGACTCTACTGCTGGCCACCCTGGGGCTCCTTGTTCAGGGTGAGACTCTCTTCTGAAAACTTTGCTTCAGGATGCAACCAGGTTCCCCAACATGATGATCTGCTATGATGGAGAAGCACTGAGACAAGCAGCATGTACCTTCTTCCATCTGTTCTCCATGTTAAAGAGAGGATGCTCTTCTGTTTGGATGTTGATCATCTTTCTCCACGCTGTTTGTCTCAATAACCCTTCTGCTGTTTTCATGTTTTCCAGATTCATCAGGAGAAATCCTCCTGACTCAGTCTCCTGGATCTCTGTCTGTTGTTCCAGGACAGACTCTTTCTATCAAATGTACAGCCAGTACAAGTGTTGGTGGATGCCTTAACTGGTACCTTCAGAAACCTGGAGAAGCTCCTAAACTCTTGGTATATCATGCTACATCTCTTCAGTCTGGAGTTTCAAATCGTTTCAGTGGAAGTGGATCTGGGACTGTCTACACTCTGACCGTCACTGGAGTTCAGACTGTAGATGCAGGAGATTATTATTGTCAGCAGTGTAGCAGCCGGCCGTTCACACAGTGATACAACGTCGTACAAAAACCTCCTCAAATAAAGAGGAAGTGATCTGAATGAACAGCTGCACAGAAAATAAAATAACTATAAGATTAATTAACTAACATTTTTTAATGTAATACCACATCAGCACTTTCAGCATTCAAAAGATTGGAATATTTCAGTTAAAAATAGTTTTACAATTTCTTTGTGATTTGTGAGTACCAAAAGGTTTGCTAACAGCTTTAATAGCCACTCTATAACATTGGCCCTAATAACTGTCAACCCCAAGTGACATTATAGCACATATTTAATAAACTAATGTAGATTTTGTATAAATATTGAGTGAATGCTACATTCCTACTTTTTATGTTTGCTTTCTAAAGTCATTTAACAATAATAATAATAACATTTCATTTATATAGCACACTTTAAAAACATCGTCATCTCAAGGTGCTTCACAATGCTATAAGGAGAAAATAATAAAACAAATAAAATAAAAAGTTATCTAAGGAGCATATTGAATAAAATATGGTAATATAAATTAAAAAAAGGTTAAGAGCATGTTGGGAAAATACTGAATGTACTCTTCCAATATCAGAGTAGCACATGATAACAAAGGCCTGTGTACGTAACAGGATGTATGATTACCTAGAAGAGCGTCAGGACACACTGTTTTAGGTATATGATAGCTATGTGACAACGATTAACATGCTGATTTAGCCTCTGGAGCAGGGGTGTCGAACTCAAGGCCCGGGGGCCAAATCCGGCCCGCGACTTCATTTGATGTGGCCCTGCAAGAGCTTGCAAAGAATATAATACGTTTATTATACGGTTACATGCCACTTTACAGAAGCAGGTTGCCCATAAACTACATGTCCCACAATGCATCTCATTTTGTGACATGCACACTGAAGGGACTTGCAATTATTTGCCCTGGACTTCTGCTTTCAGACGTAGTTAATTACTAAGTTATTACCCTATCCGATAATAATCCAATTCAGAGGCAATAATGTAATATAATACATTATTTTATAAATATATTATATATTTATATAGTTACAACCGGCCCTTTGAGAGCAACCATAATACTAATGTAAGCTTCTGCAGTGACGTGCAGTGAGGTTCATGGCTGGTGAGGCACTGGCACTGACTCTTCAAGTTTACAAATATTATATTTTGACCTAAATCAAAATATAATATTATTTTCAAAAGCTTTTTTAGTCTGACGCTTCGATTAATTTTAAACAGACAGTTCAACAAAAGGATACCCAACAAATGTAATTTGATCATTTAAATATTGGATTGTTCTCTCTTAGTAAGATCCCATTTTCAATACAATTGTGGTCTTACCTTGACTTGAAGATGAAGTCCACGACTCAGGATCCATGACCCAGTGTCCACGATTCAGGACCAGGACTCAGGATCCACGACTCAGGACCACGACTCAGGGTCCACGACTCAGGACCACGACTCAGGACCACAGCGACAGGCACAGCCACAATTAGGTCTTTGTTTTAGTCAAATATCAGTTTGAATTCAATCAGCGAAAAATCATTAAATGTATTGATTCTGCAAACAGAACAAACTGCAAGAGGAAAGAGACTGGTGTATCAACATTTTAGGTTGAGTTGTAATGAGTCCATTAAATAAGATTTAAAGGTCAACTATTATGCAAAATCCACTTTTCCATATATTTTATACATAAATATGTGTCCCCTCTGTGTAAAGAGATTATGAAAGTTTCAGGACAAAATAATCTGTCTCTTTTGGTCTTGATCCATCTATATAAAAACCTGTCTGAAAATGAGCTGATCAGATTTTGGCCACTTTGTGATGTCACAATGTTTTTTTGGGCTGTGTAACCATTAGCCAATAACCAAGGTAACACCCGCCCACCTTATCACCTGATTCTCCTCCTAGAGCACCTCTGTGTGTTTCAAACCAAACACAGGGCTGAAACAGAGGGGTTTACTGCATTATACCATGCATGATCTCAGTGGTTTCTAGAGCCAAACACTTCAGAGACATGGTTTGTAAATATCTGAGACCTATAATATATTGTTGGAAAGGAGTATAATAAGGGACCTTTAAGGTCATCTCAATTTAGATTCCAGTTGTATAACTTTATGCAGATGATACCCTGCTTTTTATTTCTTATCATGAATTTCTTATTCTTATTGAGTCAGATGTCCAGAATTAATTCAGGGTAACATTTAACAACACATGAACATAACATAGAGAATACATTAAACATCAGTTATAAGAGCTTTGTGGTTTACCATTGAAATGTTCCTACTAAGGTTATTGGAACTAATTCATAACATAGATAGAACCTAAATGAATGCAGAAGTACATCAACAGTCTAGCAATTATTAACAAGTAATCTGGAACAAATGTATCATTATGAATGTTGTGGCTTTTGTGAATTCATGTGAATAAGGTTCCTTACATATATAATATTTTAGAGAAAGGGAATCAGAAGACTTTTAAAATACACATATTCATCTTTATTATTTTTAAAATGTTGAAACCATCGACAAAGCAAAAACAGGTTGATGTTGAAACATGTCCTGAGAGCCAGAGAGCAGACTGAGAGCAGTGTGAGAGAGAAAGCAGAGTCCCAGTGAGTCAGCTCAGGACTGGGAACACTGGTCTCTCCTCAGTGTCTCTGAGAGCGGAGTCTGGGAGCCCTGGGTGGCCTCACAGGTCACAGAGCGCACCTTCCTCCACTGATCTGCAGAGAGCCTCAGGGTGCTGCTCCAGCTGTAGTGGGCGTCCTTCTCCAGCACCCCGGGGCTCCTGCTCTCCTCCCAGCTGCTGCTGCTGCTGCTGCCGTCCACCTTCCAGGCCAGACTCCAGTCTGAGGGGAAGCCCTTGTTGGCCAGGCACATGAGCGTGGCCTTCCCCTGCTGCAGCTCTTCTCTGGAGGGGGGCAGCACCGTCAGGGTGGGACGGACATCACCTAGGAGACACCAATCAGATTAGAGGACAGGGAGCAAACAGCTGTCAATCAACCAGCAGACACTGGGACACCTTTACTGTGAGAGTGTTTCTCCTTTAAGGAGTTTCTGTCAGATGTTGGTTCTGCTCCATCAGTCTCTCACTCACACATTGTTTCACTTCCCTTTAAGAAGCCTCTCATGCAAATCAGCACAGAGACACTTCATACAGAATCACCTGAAATATGTCAGACTACACTGGAAATAAAGTACAACATTAGGACACATTTTAAGTAGTTGTTGTTCAAATCATCCAAAACCTGAACTCTACAAACCATTATTAAATGATTTAGTTGATACATGAACAAATACAGGAAATGGAGCAATCAATTGATCTCAATTTGAATCTCAATCACTACCCAGTTTTACAAACTTTAAAATAATGTCTGAAATAATTCAACACATTTTTAATATCCGTCGATATCTTTACTCTGTTCATCTGTATTTAAAAACTGTATTCTTAATTTATTCAAAAACAGAAGGGAGAACCGAGATAGAAAATTCAAAATAAGTTAAGGAAAAATTATTTTAACATTTGCAGTTTTATCCTTTCACATTTGAAGCTGTTTAAATGACAGTTTGTTGGGAATGTATAAAGACATTTCAAGAAAAGCTGCTCCGACTTTGCTCAATGATGAAGAGAAATAAAAACATGAATATTAATACTATCTAAACATTACAATTAAAATAATAAAAATCTATCTCTCAAATATTCCAACACAGAATTAAAACATCTCTTAACAACATCATATTTAGTTTTTGTGCAGAAACTTACTTCCAACATCCAGTCTGGTTCCTCCACCAAAAGTCAACCACAGTGATACAAAGTCATTGAGCCGCCGTACAAAAACCTCTCACTGTAGAGAGACACGGCTCTCTGACTTTGACACACTGAACTAAACCTACCAGCCCTCAAGATGCTACTTCACCATTAAAGGTGGAAATAATGATTTATTCTCTGTTCAATGTTTAACTCTCATGAAAACATTTAAACGTCTTTTGCTGGAGTAAAGTTAGCCTCTCAGTGCAAAATATTTGAGAAGAATTTATACAATGACATGGAGAGGCAACTATTTCTCTTAGTTTGCTAAATAAAAAGTACAACAAAATAGAAATGTCTCTTATAAATTAACATTTGACTTACTTCCAACATCCAGTCTGGTTCCTCCACCGAACGTGTACCACAGTGATACAAAGTCATTGAGCCGCCGTACAAAAACCTCTCACTGTAGAGAGACACGGCTCTCTGACTTTGACACAAACAAACTCACCAAACACATCCACAGTTTACCCAGTTTATATAATAACTGCTTCAAATGTTTGAAACAGATTCACAAACTATGGAGAAGTATTGAATCTTTTTTTGTTAGCTGTTATACATTTAAAAAGCAAAATATTCATATTGAATGAAGTACATATAATTACGCAATTTCTTAAGAAAGATTTTGAATCAATCGGGCAAAATGTAAATCATTGTCATTTTATAAAGCTTTATTTTAGATTGTTGTGGAGGAAGAGAGCATTGATTTGTGTGGGAGTGAATTATATGAAATTGAAAAATACTTTTTGGAAAGAACAAGTGAGCCCTGACCCATTCCGGGCGGCAGTGCCCTTGAGCAGGGCACCGGACCCCCATGTGCTCCCTGGCACATGTTCCTGTGCACCTATGTACTTGTAATGTGTGTGTGTACAAAAAACAGAGTGGAAACAGAATCTTTCCCCAGGGGAGGTCCATCTTCTTTATCTTCTTCCTCGTGATCAATAATCCAGGTCCCTGTTGGAGTCAGTCAGAGCATTTCCATAGAGAGACACTTTGCATCAGCAGCACCATGCTCCAGTGCTCTGGGAACTTCTTTTTTGAACAGTGTTCACTTCTGTCTAACTGGAGTGACTCCCAAAGATCAAAAGTCCCGACTTCAAATCAAAGGTCACCTTCACTTTAAAGTCTGAAGTGAGGTAAATCCAGCAAGCAGTGGCGGCGCCAGAGTATTTTTGTTGGGTAATCTATGGTAGGGCTAACCCATAGCCTACAGTGGTGGGGCTCAAGTCAGTATTTGCAATGTAATTACATACACGCTATATCGCCCCCTTTGACAGTGAAACGCCACACGTGAGGTTTAGATTATTTCCCTATCTCAATCAAAATGGAACTGTATGAAATAAAACGGCACATTTGTCTTGTAGTAAATAAAAAGGGATCACTGTGAACGTGACGTATGATAGTACACGTTGAAGATCCAATAGGGATACTGAATGGCGGTTCCGACTGATCTCAATCAGTAATGCATGACGCAGACCCAACGTTTCGTTGCTCTGATTGGCTGTAGGTCTGACTCTATTCAAATTGCATTTGGAGGCATTTTGATCTGACCGCGGCCGCGCTGATATTATAACGCCAGAGAATTTACACACCTTTAGTGTATAAAACTCCCCACTACTTAGACTATTCCTTGCACCCCTCTTCTAGCATACGCCTGAATGGTCTCAACCATATTGCATCAGTAACGTGCACTTGTTGTTACAGCAGGATCAGTTTGTGTGTTGTGGACACGACCCGTATATTTTTCGCAACCCGTGTTCTCAACATTTAGCATTTTGCTTATTATTTAATTTAATTTGCTTACTTTAACATCATTTTTCATGGTGGGGCTAAGGTGGGGCTAAGGTGGGGCTAAGCCATTTCTTGGTATGGCTGTAGCCTACCCCAGCCATACCCTGGCGCCGCCACTGCCAGTAAGCCCTGATCATGAGACGTTCCTGACCTCCTAGTGATACAGCCCTGTAGAAGGTCAGAGATAAAGGAGGCTGTCTGACCATGCAGAGCTCTAAAAGGGATCACAAGTATCTTAAACTGGATTCTTTATTTAATGTGGAGCCATGAATACAAATCAAGCTGTTACATGAGATCTTTTCAAAGAGCCGGTCAAAGTTCATTTAACAGTCCTTTGGACATTTCAGTGAGTGATGGCTGTGAAAGTAAAGAAGAAATGGAGTTACACAGTTTAAATGGACAAATAAATCTGTAAATGATCATCTCCAGCTTAGCTTGAAGCACATTGGGATTCAACTTAACAAATAATGTAAACGGTAAACAACAGATGTGAATCCAACACTTCATGCTGCTCAACAGTCAATGTCTGATCTAAAGTGTTAGCCCTATTTCAGACAGTAGATTTGAACAGATGAGGAAAAAGGAGCATCTGAGAATTGTAATAATACAACTTTATGGAGATGAAAGAAAAGCATCAGCATCTCAGGTATCTTCTCTGAGTATATTCATCATACAATTATATTCCCCACCAATGATATTAATTTTTACATCATATAAAACTGCCTTGTTTCATCTTAATGACCATAATGTGATCAGCCATTAAAGAAAGTATTCTGTCTAATGCCACTCTCCTTTTAGATTTACAAAAAGGATGAATTGCCGACATCGGACTTTACATTTTTGTCAAAATGAATCATGTAAATTAAAGTAGCTACTGTATAAGAAAACTTGCAACGCTGAATTTGTATTCTGGTGTGAAACCTTTTAACAATCTGTATCAACAACCTTTTTTTCTTTCACGTGTGTTAAACAACATATATTTCTACACTTTAAAATATTCTCACCAACAGGCTCAACTTGCTGCTTTGTGTGAACCAAATGAACTTGTGCACGACATAGTAATCTTTGAGAGCCCATTATGTAGTGAAACATGAAACAGTGAATGCTGTCAGCACTGAGGGGGAACTCCATGCTGTTTGAGGACAGCTACACTTCACTGACTCTGTGTGTTTGCATATGTGTCCTGCCTCTCTGCTCCCAGACGTTAAGAGGCCAGAGGTGATCAGCGGCTGTCCAGACCTTTCAGAGCCACTGACACGCCGGCAGCACAATGATGATGTCACTGACTTTACTGCTGGCCACCCTGGGGCTCCTTGTTCAGGGTGAGACTCTCTTCTGAAAACTTTGCTTCAGGATGCAACCAGGTTCCCCAACATGATGATCTGCTATGATGGAGAAGCACTGAGACAAGCAGCATGTACCTTCTTCCATCTGTTCTCCATGTTAAAGAGAGGATGCTCTTCTGTTTGGATGTTGATCATCTTTCTCCACGCTGTTTGTCTCAATAACCCTTCTGCTGTTTTCATGTTTTCCAGATTCATCAGGAGAAATCCTCCTGACTCAGTCTCCTGGATCTCTGTCTGTTGTTCCAGGACAGACTCTTTCTATCAAATGTACAGCCAGTACAAGTGTTAGTAATAACCTTCACTGGTACCTTCAGAAACCTGGAGAAGCTCCTAAACTCTTGGTATATTATGCTACATCTCTTCACTCTGGAGTTTCAAATCGTTTCAGTGGAAGTGGATCTGGGACTGTCTTCACTCTGACCGTCACTGGAGTTCAGACTGTAGATGCAGGAGATTATTATTGTCAGCAGAGTAACAGCTTCCCGTTCACACAGTGATACAACGTCGTACAAAAACCTCCTCAAATAAAGAGGAAGTGATCTGAATGAACAGCTGCATAGAAAAAAGAAAAAATAAATCTTTGATTAAGATACAATTTTAAACTAATAACAAAATAACACTTTCAGCATGCAAACAATTGCTATTATTAAGGTAATTTGTTGTTGTTGTTTGTGAGTAATTATAAGTTTGCTAAAAGCTTTAATTACCACTCTTTAATGTCGTCCCTTACAACTTTATATTCTAAGTAAAATTTGAACCGATAATAAATACATTAATACTGTATAGATTAATTTAGAAATATTTAGTGAATGCTTAATTTGTACTTTTCATGTTTCAAAAAGTCCAGAAAACATTACACTTATAACATATCAATGATACTTAACGTTTTTTGCTCAAATGTATTTCAGGTTTTATAGTTATTTAGATTATCTCTCGAAAGTGGAAGAACTCTAAAAATATATATATTTTAAAACCTAAAAGAGGATTATAAAATCTCAGTGATCCGACCCTGAGACAAACTCAGTCTCTTTGGATACAAACTGTGTTGATGTGACACAGCAACATATGAGTCATTATGTTTATATAATGCATGAACACAGCTGATGAATAGGTCTTAAGTTGCGTTCGAATTGTCAGTTTAGTTTAGGAAGGTTTCTAACGGAGTGAAATGACCCGGGAGTGCCTCAGTGGCAGCCATGACATGAGTCGTTGGAATTCTCTAGATGATAGGAAAGGAGCTTTGAAACTTCCTTTATAGCCTCCTTTAGCTATGAAACACTCCTTTGATTAGGAAACACTCCTTTAGGAAAGGAAAGCAGAAAATGTTGTCCCACAATACCTTGCGGCCGCGACATTAACCTGGACACAACATTTGGCCGTTCACGGAAACAACCGACAGTGACCGAGAACTAAATATCATGAAAGTTACGGTGCTTATTAAACATTTTACAAGTTATATTGTAACTTGCCAAAGGGATTGGTTTTGAACGTTCAACACTATAATAATCAAAAGACAAAATATGAATGTTACTTTTTAACTGTAAAATGATCAAATAAAGTCAACATTTCTCAGTCTTTACTGAGTTGAGGTTTCTTAAACTTTATCAAACACGTTTGATTGGTGATATACACAGTGATAGGTTGAGGTCTAACAAGTTTATAATAAATACAATTGTATTTACTGTACTTAAAAATATTTTCATACAATCATGTGTGAGCGACAATAAGTTTCAATTTACGTTTATATTTCAATTCCAACCTAATGAATAATATATTTTTCACTGTTGTCCAGGTTCATAAATCATAAAACAACACCATTAAAAACCACTATTCATTAACCCGGTGACGTTTCCCTCAGACGTCATGGAGTAGTGGTTAGGAAAAGACAATAGGAGCTTTATTTTAGTATAATATTAGTTTCAATTCAAGTACCGAAAAATCAATGTTTAAATTCTGCTAAAAAGACAGAGACTGTAGTACTGTATGTAATGTTTCATCTAGATGCAGATGATTTACTGCTTTTTATAATCCTGGAAATATTTTTGATTCAGATTTTGAGAATATATTCAAGGTAAAGTTTAACAACACATGAACATCACACATGGATTTACTTTAACATTAGTGATAAGAGAGAGCTTTGCGGTTTACCATTAAAATGTTCATGCTATGGTTATTGGTACCAATCTTGATCAGCAAAAATAAAACTAGGATGAATCTTTTGTGAATTAATGTGAATGAGGTTCCTTACATATATACTATTTTAGAGAAAGGGAATCAGAAGACATACCACTTTTAAAATACACACATTCATCTTTATTATTTTAAAATGTTGAAACCATCGACAAAGCAAAAACAGGTTGATGTTGAAACATGTCCTGAGAGCCAGAGAGCAGACTGAGAGCAGTGTGAGAGAGAAAGCAGAGTCCCAGTGAGTCAGCTCAGGACTGGGAACACTGGTCTCTCCTCAGTGTCTCTGAGAGCGGAGTCTGGGAGCCCTGGGTGGCCTCACAGGTCACAGAGCCCACCTTCCTCCACTGGTCTGCAGGGAGCCTCAGGGTGCTGCTCCAGCTGTAGTGGGCGTCCTTCTCCAGCACCCCGGGGCTCCTGCTCTCCTCCCAGCTGCTGCTGCTGCTGCTGCTGCTGCCGTCCACCTTCCAGGCCAGACTCCAGTCTGAGGGGAAGCCCTTGTTGGCCAGGCACATGAGCGTGGCCTTCCCCTGCTGCAGCTCTTCTCTGGAGGGGGGCAGCACCGTCAGGGTGGGACGGACATCACCTAGGAGACACCAATCAGATTAGAGGACAGGGAGCACACAGCTGTCAATCAACCAGCAGACACTGGGACACCTTTACTGTGAGAGTGTTTCTCCTTTAAGGAGTTTCTGTCAGATGTTGGTTCTGCTCCATCAGTCTCTCACTCACACATTGTTTCACTTCCCTTTAAGAAGCCTCTCATGCAAATCAGCACAGAGACACTTCATACAGAATCACCTGAAATATGTCAGACTACACTGGAAATAAAGTACAACATTAGGACACATTTTAAGTAGTTGTTGTTCAAATCATCCAAAACCTGAACTCTACAAACCATTATTCAATGATTTAGTGGATAAATGAACAAATACAGGAAATGGAGCAATCAATTGTGCTTAATGTGAATCTCAATCACTACCCAGTTTTACAAACTTTAAAATAATGTCTGAAATAATTCAACACATTTTTAATATCCGTCGATATCTTTACTCTGTTCATCTGTATTTAAAAACTGTATTCTTAATTTATTCGAAAACAGAAGGGAGAACCGAGATAGAAAACTCAAAATAAGTTAAGGAAACATTATTTTAACATTTGCAGTTTTATCCTTTCACATTTGAAGCTGTTTAAATGACAGTTTGTTGGGAATGTATAAAGACATTTCAAGAAAAGCTGCTCCGACTTTGCTCAATGATGAAGAGAAATAAAAACATGAATATTAATACTATCTAAACATTACAATTAAAATAATAAAAATCTATCTCTCAAATATTCCAACACAGAATTAAAACGTCTCATAACAACATCATATTTAGTTTTTGTGCAGAAACTTACTTCCAACATCCAGTCTGGTTCCTCCACCAAAAGTCCACCACAGTGATACAAAGTCATTGAGCCGCCGTACAAAAACCTCTCACTGTAGAGAGACACGGCTCTCTGACTTTGACACACTGAACTAAACCTACCAGCCCTCAAGATGCTACTTCACCATTAAAGGTGGAAATAATGATTTATTCTCTGTTCAACGTTTAACTCTCATGAAAACATTTAAACGTCTTTAGCTGCAGTAAAGTTATCCTCTCAGTGCAAAATATTTGAGAAGAATTTATAAAATGACATGGAGAGGCAACTATTTCTCTTAGTTTGCTAAATAAAAAGTACAACAAAATAGAAATTTCTCTTATAAATTAACATTTGACTTACTTCCAAACTCCAGTCTGGTTCCTCCACCGAACGTGTACCACAGTGATACAAAGTCATTGAGCCGCCGTACAAAAACCTCTCACTGTAGAGAGACACGGCTCTCTGACTTTGACACAAACAAACTCACCAAACACATCCACAGTTTACCCAGTTTATATAATAACTGCTTCAAATGTTTGAAACAGATTCACAAACTATGGAAAAGTATCTACTGTTTCTTTAGTGAACCTTTTAAATATTTACAACAAATATTTACTCATCTCTTCAGTTTTAAAATGAAGATTCTTCTTTTGAAAAACGGATTGTTCACAAAATATGTTTAGTTTCACGATTTTATCAACTTTTAAACATCAGCAAGCAAAGTAATTGAACACTTAAATAAAACAATAAATGTCTAATAAAATCTCTACATGTTATACTTCCAAATGTGAATCATTTCCATGAATACAAGTTTGTTTTTCCATCAGGATCAATAATAAATCTCAATTTTGTTTTTCCTAGGTGGGATTGATTATTTGGGGTTATTAATTTGAGCTTTTTAATTAAATTAACTGCAAGAAAATGTGTCCATTGAACTTAGAGCCTCATACAAGTGAGCGCTGACCCATTCCAGATCAATCCTCTGACAGAGGGATGGATCCATTGATAAACAGCATCATCAGAGTAATCCAGGTCCCTGTTGGAGTCAGTCAGAGCATTTCCATAGAGAGACACTTTGCATCAGCAGCACCATGCTCCAGTGCTCTGGGAGACCTTATAGTCCTGAGAGTTGAACACTGGATGACTGACAGCTGTCCTTCATGACAACAGAAGCCACAGAAATCCTCCTCATCAAAAACATGACTTTGATCTGCGTCCTCATCTGGACTCTCCTCTGCTGCTGCTTCACAGGTAAAGTCCAGAGAATCAAACTCCTCTCCTCTGTGAACATCCGTCCCTCTGAAATGAAGCGGACAAAACCATGATGCTGCTTTATGTCTTTGTCTCTGTATCCTCAGAGTCCAGAGGCCAGATCACAGTGACTCAGTCTGGAGCAGTGAGCTCTGCTCCGGGACGCTCCGTCTCCATCACATGTAGGACCAGTCAGGGGGTTTATAATGGGGACGATTTAGCCTGGTACCAACAGAGAGATGGAGGAACTCCTAAACTGCTCATTTACTCTACTAGCACTCGAGCATCAGGGATTTCAAACCGTTTTACAGGCAGTGGATCAAACTCTGACTTCACTCTGACCATCAGTGGAGTCCAGACTGATGATGCAGCAGTTTACTACTGTCAGAGTCTCCATTACCCGAACAGTCAGTATGTGTTCACACAGTGAAAAAGCGTCGTACAAAAACCTCCCTCAGTCAGACTGAACAGGAACTGAACTGACTGCTGCAGCTGGAAGCTACTGCAGGGACTGATACACTTCACACACACACACACACACACACACACACACACACACACACACACACACACACACACACACACACACACACACACACACACACACACACACACACACACACACACACACACACACACACACACACACACACACACACACACACACGCACACACACTTTCATCTCCATTAAGCATGTAACTTTATTCTTTTTCAAGCAAAGACTTCTGAAATATTTCTAATAATATATTAAGTGAATGAACTCATACACACCATAGTAAAATACTAAAAAATAGCCACACTAAACTCATGGGTGCTCAGCTTCTTTTTTGAACAGTGTTCACTTCTGTCTAACTGGAGTGACTCCCAAAGATCAAAAGTCCCGACTTCAAATCAAAGGTCACCTTCACTTTAAAGTCTGTAGTGAGGTAAATCCAGCAAGCCCTGATCATGAGACGTTCCTGACCTCCTAGTGATACAGCCCTGTAGAAGGTCAGAGATAAAGGAGGCTGTCTGACCATGCAGAGCTCTAAAAGGGATCACAAGTATCTTAAACTGGACTCTTTATTTAATGTGGAGCCATGAATACAAATCAAGCTGTTACATGAGATCTTTTCAAAGAGCCGGTCAAAGTTCATTTAGCAGTCCTTTGGACATTTCAGTGAGTGATGGCTGTGAAAGTGAAGAAGAAATGGAGTTACACAGTTTAAATGGACAAATAAATATGTAAATGATCATCTCCAGCTTAGCTTGAAGCACATTGGGATTCAACTTAACAAATAATGTAAACGGTAAACAACAGATGTGAATCCAACACTTCATGCTGCTCAACAGTCAATGTCTGATCTAAAGTGTTAGCCCTATTTCAGACAGTAGATTTGAACAGATGAGGAAAAAGGAGCATCTGAGAATTTTAATAATACAACTTTATGGAGATGAAAGAAAAGCATCAGCATCTCAGGTATCTTCTCTGAGTATATTCATCATACAATTATATTCCCCACCAATGATATTCATTTTTACATCATATAAAACTGCCTTGTTTCATCTTAATGACCATAATGTGATCAGCCATTAAAGAAAGTATTCTGTCTAATGCCACTCTCCTTCTAGATTTACAAAAAGGATGAATTGCCGACATCAGACTTTACATTTTTGTCAAAATGAATCATGTAAATTAAAGTAGCTACTGTATAAGAAAACTTGCAACGCTGAATTTGTATTCTGGTGTGAAACCTTTTAACAATCTGTATCAATAACCTTTTTTTCTTTCACGTGTGTTAAACAACATATATTTCTACACTTTAAAATATTCTCACCAACAGGCTCAACTTGCTGCTTTGTGTGAACCAAATGAACTTGTGTTCGACATAGTAATCTTTGAGAGCCCATTATGTAGTGAAACATGAAACAGTGAATGCTGTCAGCACTGAGGGGGAACACCATGCTGTTTGAGGACAGCTACACTTCACTGACTCTGTGTGTTTGCATATGTGTCCTGCCTCTCTGCTCCCAGACGTTAAGAGGCCAGAGGTGATCAGCGGCTGTCCAGACCTTTCAGAGCCACTGACACGCCGGCAGCACAATGATGATGTCACTGACTTTACTGCTGGCCACCCTGGGGCTCCTTGTTCAGGGTGAGACTCTCTTCTGAAAACTTTGCTTCAGGATGCAACCAGGTTCCCCAACATGATGATCTGCTATGATGGAGAAGCACTGAGACAAGCAGCATGCACCTTCTTCCATCTGTTCTCCATGTTAAAGAGAGGATGCTCTTCTGTTTGGATGTTGATCATCTTTCTCCACGCTGTTTGTCTCAATAACCCTTCTGCTGTTTTCATGTTTTCCAGATTCATCAGGAGAAATCCTCCTGACTCAGTCTCCTGGATCTCTGTCTGTTGTTCCAGGACAGACTCTTTCTATCAAATGTACAGCCAGTACAAGTATTAGTTCATACCTTAACTGGTACCTTCAGAAACCTGGAGAAGCTCCTAAATTATTGGTATATTATGCTACATCTCTTCAGTCTGGAGTTTCAAATCGTTTCAGTGGAAGTGGATCTGGGACTATCTACACTCTGACCGTCACTGGAGTTCAGACTGTAGATGCAGGAGATTATTATTGTCAGCAGGGTGGCAGCTTCCCGTTCACACAGTGATACAACGTCGTACAAAAACCTCCTCAAATAAAGAGGAAGTGATCTGAATGAACAACTGCACAGAAAAGAAAATAACTATAAGATTAATTAACTAACATTTTTAAATGTAATACCACAACAGCACTTTCAGCATTCAAAAGATTTGAATATTTCAGTTAAAAATAGCGTTACAATTTCTTTGTGATTTGTGAGTACCAAAAGGTTTGCTAACAGCTTTAATAACCACTCTATAACGTTGGCCCTAATAAAAGTGACATTATAGCACATATTTAATACACTAATGCAGATTTTGTATAAATATTGAGTGAATGCTACATTCCTACTTTTTGTGTTTGCTTTCTAAAGTCATTTAACAATAATAATAATAACATTTCATTTATATAGCACACTTTAAAAACAACGTCATGTCAAGGTGCTTCACAATGCTATAAGGAGAAAATAATAAAACAAATAAAATAAAAAGTTATCTAAGGAGCATATTGAATAAACTATGGTAATATAAAAAAAAAGGTTAAAGGTGGGGTAGGTAATTTTGGAGAAACCAGCTCGAGTGCGCTAGAATTTGAAAATACACAGCCGGAAAAAATCTGCCACTTCCTTACAGAGCTCCTCCTCCAACACACACGAACGCGCACATGACCAATGAGGGCACGAGATAAGTCTGTGCACAGATGGAAGGCTGACAGTCCGGCAGTGGCTCAGTCAGTAGGGGCTTGGACTGGGAGCCGTAGGGTCGCTGGTTCAAGTCCCCGACCAGACCTAAATATGGAGTGTGGACTTCTACTTGGAGAGGTCCCAGTTCACCTCCTGCCCTGCCGTGGTGCCCTTGAGCAAGGCACCGGACACCCCCCTTCCCCCCCACTCCCATTGCTCCCCGGGCGCTGTACAATAGCTGCCCACTGCTCCTAGTACTAGACTCCTTGTACTAGGATGGGTTAAAAGCAGAGGCCAAATTTCACTGTGTGTGCTGTGTGCTGTGCATGTGTGACCATTAAAGAGGGTTTCATCCCTCCCTATTCTATTCTATTCTATTCAGGCAGGTAGGCCATCCAGTTATTTTAGCCGGGCCGGCTAAAATGATTGGTCGTGCTTTTTACAGTACCACGGCTTCCACAGATGACATTTTTTTATGGATTTTTTGTCAAAGCACTTAAGATATTCATTGCTATCGGGATGTTAAGAGCATTCCATGGAATATAACAAAAAGTGTATCTCGAGCCGGTTTCTCAAACTTACCTACCCCACCTTTAAGAGCATGTTGGGAAAATACTGAATGTACTCTTCCAATATCAGAGTAGCACATGATAACAAAGGCCCTACCTAGCTGTGTACGTAACAGGATGTATGATTACCTAGAAGAGCGTCAGGACACACTGTTTTAGGTATATGATAGCTATGTGACAACGATTAACATGCTGATTCAGCCTCTAGAGAGATAGACATATGACTGTCATGTTTATTGCTTACGTGCAGTGGAGTTTTTATATGTACAAAAGTGGTGGGGCACAAAAAACGTAGATCTGTTTATAAGCTTCTGCAGTGACGTGCAGTGAGGTTCATGGCTGGTGAGGCACTGGCACTGACTCTTCAGGTTTACAAATATTATATTTTGACCTAAATCAAAATATTATATTATTTTCCAAAGCTTTTTTAGTCTGATGCTTCGATTAATTTTAAACAGACAGTTCAACAAAAGGATACCCAACAAATGTAATTTTATCATTTAAATATTGGATTGTTCTCTCTTAGTAAGATCCCATTTTTAATAAAATGGTGCATGGTCTTACCTTGACTTGAAGATGAAGTCCACGACTCAGGATCCATGACTCAGAACCACGACTCAGGATACAGGACTCAGGGTCCACAACTCAGGTCCACGACTCAGGATCCAGGACTTAGGATCCAGGAATCAGGGTCCACGACTCAGGATCCACGACTCAGGACCACGACTCAGGGTCCACTACTCAGGATCCAGGAATCAGGGTCCACGACTCAGGATCCACGACTCAGGATCCACAACTCAGGACCACGACTCAGGACCACGACTCAGGACCACAGCGACAGGCACAGCCATGATTAGGTCTTTGTTTTAGTCAAATATCAGTTTGAATTCAATCAGCGAAAAATCATTAGATGTATTGATTCTGCAAACAGAACAAACTGCAAGAGGAAAGAGACTGGTGTATCAACATTTTAGGTTGAGTTGTAATGAGTCCATTAAATAAGATTTAAAGGTCACCTATTCAATCCACAAAATCCACTTTTCCATATATTTTATACATAAATATGTGTCCCCTCTGTGTAAAGAGATTTTAAAAGTTTCAGGACAAAATAATCTGTCTCTTTTGGTCCTGATCCATCTATATAAAAACCTGTCTGAAAATGAGCTGATCAGATTTTGGACACTTTGTGATGTCACAATGTTTTTTTGGGCTGTGTAACCATTAGCCAATAACCAAGGTAACACCCGCCCACCTTATCACCTGATTCTCCTCCTAGAGCACCTCTGTGTGTTTCAAACCAAACACAGGTCTGAAACAGAGGGGTTTACTGCATTATACCATGCATGATCTCAGTGGTTTCTAGAGCCAAACACTTCAGAGACATGGTTTGTAAATATCTGAGACCTATAATATATTGTTGGAAAGGAGTATAATAAGGGACCTTTAAGGTCATCTCAATTTAGATTCAAGTTGTATAACTTTATGCAGATGATACCCTGCTTTTTATTTCTTATCATGAATTTCTTATTTTTTTTACTTACAAGTGGTTTTGTTTGGTATAAAATAGTGCAAGAGAATGTTTTTAGATTTTCTAGTCGAATAAAACAGAAATAGTTCAAGAATAGTCTATATACAATTGGAATATGATATATTAGATAAATAATTTTCAAGATGCAAACAGACAGAACAGTTTGTTGCTGGGGGGATGGGGGTCTTTTATAATTCTGAGGGCTTTCTTCCTGAGCCGCTGGGAGTAGAGATCCTCCATGGATGGCAGCTCCGTCCTGGTGATGTTCTGTGCAGTTTTTACCAGCCTCTGTAGAGTCTTACGGTTGAGGGCGGTGCAGCTGCCGTACCAGGCCGTGATGCAGCCAGTCAGGATACTCTCTATGGTGCACCTGTAGGAGGTCAGGATCCTCTCTATGGTGCACCTGTAGAAGGTCAGGATGCTCTCTATGGTGCACCTGTAGAAGGTCAGGATCCTCTCTATGGTGCACCTGTTGAAGGTCAGGATGCTCTCTATGGTGCACATGTAGAAGGTCAGGATCCTCTCTATGGTGCACCTGTAGAAGTTGCAGAGTATCCTGGAGTCCATGTTGAACCTCTGCCGCCTTTAAGGAGTTTCTGTCAGATGTTGGTTCTGATCAGTCTCTCACTCACACATTGTTTCACTTCCCTTTAAGAAGCCTCTCATGCAAATCAGCACAGAGAGACTTCATGAATCACCTGAAATATATCAGACCACCAAAAGACACATTTCCAAACTATGTTATAAAAATCAAAATTTGAAATTAAAGTACTTTTTTTAAACATGAAAAAATACATGGAATGAGCTGTCAGCAATCAATTGCTTGATGTGTATTTAAATTACGTCCATGTTTTAAACATTTGAGACAGTATATTATGGAGGACGGAACATGACTTAAGTATAAATAAATAAATAAATAAATGTGTAAATAAATGTATGAAGAAATACAGGAATAAATAAATAAATACGTAAATAAATAAATAAATAAATACAGGAATAAATAAATACAGAAATAAATGTTGAAATAAATAAATGTTGAAATAAATAAATAAATAAAAGAATAAATAAATGCATAAATAAATATGGAAATAAATACACCAATGTATAAATAAATAAAACAGAACACACGTTATTATATATCTTTCATATATTTCTACATTTACTCGACATACATTTATTTATTTATTTATTTATGTGTCCGTATGCTAATGAGGTATGGAGGACGGAACATGACTTAAGTATAAATAAATAAATAAATAAATGTGTAAATAAATGTATGAAGAAATACAGGAATAAATAAATAATTACGTAAATAAATACAGGAATAAATAAATACAGAAATAAATGTTGAAATAAATAAATGTTGAAATAAATAAATAAATAAAAGAATAAATAAATGCATAAATAAATATGGAAATAAATACACCAATGTATAAATAAATAAAACAGAACACACGTTATTATATATCTTTCATATATTTCTACATTTACTCGACATACATTTATTTATTTATTTATTTATGTGTCCGTATGCTAATGAGGTATGGAGGACGGAACATGACTTAAGTATAAATAAATAAATAAATAAATGTGTAAATAAATGTATGAAGAAATACAGGAATAAATAAATAATTACGTAAATAAATAAATAAATACAGGAATAAATAAATACAGGAATAAATAAATGACGAAATAAATACAGAAATAAATAAATGTTGAAATAAATACACAAATAAATAAATAAAAGAATAAATAAATAAATAAATGCATAAATAAATATGGAAATAAATACACCAATGTATAAATAAATAAATAAAAGTCGAAAATAAAACAGAACACCCATTATCATATATCTTTCATTTATTTCTACATTTACGCGACATACATTTATTTATTTATGTATTTATGTGACCGTATGCTAATGAGGTGGGCGGTCCTAACCTCAGTCTGAAGCAGGATTGGTTACAGGAGTGTGTGATCATTTCTGGCAGAGGGCTATACTAACGCCTGGCTAACCGCGCTGATTCGAAAGCAGGAGCTTTACTGTTTAGCCCTTATCTTTATACATCCATGGTTTATCCACAATTGTAAGGATTATTTATGGGTATTGGTTTAAGAGCCATTGGAGATCATTAGCGGACCATTTAGAGAACGGAGAACCAAAAGACTATGTCCTCTCTATGTCCAGTTTCGTGTGGAACGATGTATAGAGGACTTGGCTCAGCTCGACATGGATGTGGATGTTAACCCAGCTGTGTTTGAGAGTCTTCAAGAGGTTGCCCGCCAACTTGAAATCCTCTCGGAAACAGAGGAGGCGACCCTTGGGCGTCCATCTTACATGTTGCCCCCAAACGTTATTGAAGCACATCTTCGTTGGGGGCACACCGCTGGGGACATCGCGAACGGGTGTGCGAAAGAACAATTATTAAAGAAGCCATTATTAGCGAGTTGCCGTGGGTGTACACTGTACACAGAATGAACAGATGTGACTTGCCACGAATCTCTTGCTTCTGCCTGGCTCCAACAATTGGCGAATCCTGCTTCAGACTGAGGTTAGGACCGCCCACCTCATTAGCATACAGACACATAAATAAATAAATAAATAAATGTATGTCGCGTAAATGTAGAAATATATGAAAGATATATAATAACGTGTGTTCTGTTTTATTTTCGACTTTTATTTATTTATTTATTTATTATTTTATTTATTTATTTGTGTATTTATTTATTTATGTATTTATTTCGTCATTTATTTATTCCTGTATTTATTTATTCCTGTATTTATTTATTTATTTACGTATTTATTTATTTATTCCTGTATTTCTTCATACATTTATTTACACATTTATTTATACTTAAGTCATGTTCCGTCCTCCATAGTATATTACACAATTTAGAAATGTTGCATAAGTTCAAAGATTCATTTAAAATTATTTTTAAAATAATAATGAATTGAGTAGTAAAGCAGCTCTGAGTGAGCCTTGATGATAAAGAGAATTAAAAACATGACTTTAAAAATGTCAGTTAGAACGAGATGTATTTTTATGCTTTGTACAACCAAAAACTAATTCAAACATCCACTCTGCTCTGCCTCCAAACATGACATTTTAAAATGAAATGCTTTTTAATCACTTTGCACAAGTAAGTATTGAATAAAATCAACATTTCCGTCCATATCCAACACTTTAAATCTATTTACTGCAAGCTTTGTCCCAGAAACAACAGACTTAGTGTTCAGTCAGATGCATTAAGTCTGCCTCCATCTACCCACAAGTACTGACACCATTCTGCAAGAGTCAAGCTTTGCCTAAACATTCATCTAAAACTATTTATCAAGTATGAATTATTCTGCTCTCATGGAGGTCAAAGATCATCTCCAGGTTTAAATGTTCGTTTCTTCATCAACTCACAGATGAAATTCTCTGTCTGACATAGTTTGTTCTGCTGCACCCTCAGGTGGTGGATGAGTGCCACTACATGCTGATGGAGGGCATCTCTAACCTTATGAAGGGTTTCTGAAAGTACCGTGTCTTTCCCTATTTAATAATGCATCATTGCATCATGTCCGCAGTTAGAAATGATATTTAGTCATAAATAATGGGAACCTGAGTTTTTCAGTTCCCAACATGTGAAAAATGTGAACAGTCAAGTGCTTTTATAATTATCATTAGGTCATAAATAAACAGTTGTTATAGTAGATTAAATGTTCAATTATTTGAATATATATACTATTTTCTAAGTTAATAACAAATTAAGTTTCCTACTAAAAGTTTGGGAAGACAATGGTCTACCAGACAACAATATTACAAACGTAAAATACCAAGTAACACAAAGTATGCGGCATTATACGGCATAGCTATCATTTGACATAAATCCAGTAATAATACAACTAATATACTACTACTGGAAAATCGCAGCGCTTTTGAATCATCTGGGCTTTTATTTTGAAATAGATGACCGGAAATCATCTGAGCTGCGGTGCTTGATTCATGGCTTCACTCCAGGGACAGTTTTAAAAACAATTGAAACAGAGAGAGGAGTGGAGATCACTGACTCAGAGCCTGTTTTTTTTTAAACCCCACACTGAAACGTTGTCGTTTTTCATTTAAAACGTAAATATAATGTCGACTGCCGGGAGCTCCCTGGCCTGTGAGGGGATGTACTCCAAACTGATAGACGACGACGGGGCTTACGACGATCTGAACCGCAGGCCAGATGTGGAACTCGGTGGTAAGGATTAAACTTGAATTCTTTAATCTAACTGATGTGTTTTCACTATAAAGGAACTTTCTCACAGTTATTGCTTGCTGCTTTAAGGAAGAAAATACTGAATCACCTAACAAATCAAAACACAGTGCTATAACTCAGTTGTGCACTCATCTGTAAAGACTTAAAAATACAAAAGTTGCTTTACAAAACAAGAGCAACAATTACAATTGTATAACATAAAAGTATACCAAGCATACGCAACGGTGTCAAATTAAACATTAACTCAACAAAACAGGCTAAAAACAAGATTGTTTAGTTTATAAAATGTAGCAGAATCCTATTCATCGTCATATTCATCATGATCCCTGGAGGATGAACCCTCTGCTCTGACAGTCATTGACTTTTCCTCTAGCGGTCATTTAGTTTCAGTGTTTCACTGCTTATTCAGACATTTAAATTAAAACATGCTTCATTTCATTTCAAACCTTTATTTATCCAGGTTGTATCCCATTGAGATCATTGATCTCTTTTTCAAGGGAGACCTGCTCAAGTAGGTTCCAAATGAAACATTAAAAACATAACAGAGCAACAAAAGGACATCATACAGTAGCATTACAGGGATTACAATTTACATAACTATCCACATGCACAGGTACCAACAGCTTCCGATTCAGTAGCATCCAACCGAGCTTTAAAAACATTTAGTGGCACCAGATTGCTCAGTTTCCATTTTAATTGCAGACTATTCCAGGACAGTGGAGCTGCGCATCTAAATGCTATTTTCCCTAAGACAGTCCTAGCAGTTGGCACATTTAATAAAACCACAGCATGCGATCTCAGGCAGTAGCCACTTACAATTCGCCGTGAGATCAGGGAGCAGATGTAGGATGGAAGTTTCCCTAACATGGCTTTATATATAAAAATGTACCAGTGACTGAGCCTCCGTACAGTTAGTGAAGGCAGACCAGCCCTTGCATACAGGGTACAGTGATGGGTTAATGCTTTACAGTTTGTCACAAATCTCAGTGCACTGTGATACGCAGCATCTAGCTTGACCAGGCAATTGGCAGGTGCATTCATATAGATCAGATCACCATAGTCCAGCACAGGTAAAAAGGTCACAGAGACTAGCCTTTTTCTGGCCTCGAGCGAGAAACAGGACTTGTTCCTGTAGAAGAAACCTAGTCTAACCCTCAGTTTTTTAAGCAGGTTATTGACATGACGTTTAAAATTGAGATGTTGAATAATAAACCTCTTCAGCATTAGGTTATAAGCTTTTCCTTGTAAGTTCCCTGGCATTAAAAAGAGTTAAAATAAATCAATATCTAAAACAAAGAAGGGTCCTTTGGTGAAAGGCCAAAAAGATGCTCATGGTAGAAATTCAACATGGATATATACAAAAATGCTTGCTTTTTCTGAATTTACTAAATATCATGAATTTCAATTGATGCATTGCTGTAAGTGACATCCTAGCAGCATTAGCTATAAGGACACACCCTTGAATCAGTGTGGGAATAAATCAATTCACCTGGAGCTTTATTTCCCTCACTGCTGTTTGTTTGCTTGATTTGTTTATTTTAGTTCAGCCAGTTTTGCAACATCCTGGAAAACATTCTGACATGTTTGTTTTTGACAAGTCTGAACAGAGCATGAGGAAATTCCTCTGTGTAATACAATTAGTTTGAATACATTATTTTGAGCTTTAGTTGATATGAAAAAGCGAAAGAAGCATTTTTTGTTGAATTGTGTTTAGTTGATTTAATGTGCTACAGCTGTACGAGCTCTTAGTGCAACAACACAGTCATACAGCTCTGGAAAAAATCAAGAGACCACTCCACATTTTTCTTGAATCTCAATCTCTATACTGTATATGGCAGCCATTCCATTCCAGTGTCTGATGAATTCGAACACAGAGACATTTGTCAGCAGTTTATAGAATAAAATAAAACATGTTTCATTGTACTCAAACACATACCTATAAAAAGTAAAACCAGAGAAACTGATAATGCTGCAGTGGTCTCTTACGTTTTTTCAGAGCTGTATGTAGTGAAGGGTTGATGTGTTATCCCGGAGATATTGTGTTTTAAACATTGCTGCAAAGATTACAACATATATATTTGATGGTTTCATAATTTTTTTACAAATAAACATTATGAGATATTTAGTTTTGTCAGTAAAGAAGTCCATCTAACATTTGTGATACTGGGAGTGAAGTTGGGGGCATAATTGAAGTGTAATGTGCATTGATTAACAGTGTTCAGCTGCAGATATAATGATAGGGACTGTATATTTTTGGAATCAAGTGCAGAAATGTAAATTGACTGTACAATAGTTTTACTTTTTTTAATTCTATTCACAGAGCCTGGTTGGATTTATACGTTTTATAACGAGTACCATACGACTGTCAGAGCTGACTAACAGTGTCCTAAGAGTTATGGAAAATATGTTTGGGATGCAGTAAACTTCTAAACTCTTTATTGATCTAGGGGACGCACCCCCTCCTTTTTCCTTGATATGCTACATTGTGAACAACACATTTGTTTTGAATTCTGCAGGAGAAGAGCTATTAGCGTTAGCAGCCAGAAGTGTCATACAACTTACACTAAGGTGCTTTCATGCTCTAAAATGTACTTTTTGGAGAGAAACTTGAATAGATACAGTTGTTTGAAGGAGATGTTTTAATATAAAATCAAAACTCCAAAGTTTATTTTTTTTTTATTTGATTGAACATATACAGTATAGAACATACAAAAGCTCGGTGAGGATATCGTCAAGTTATCAACCTATAAGTGCAAAGAAAATAATACATTAAAATGACATGAATTCACAATAAGACGAAAAACATAAATAATACATCCAATAAGAGCCAGGGGGAAAGAAAAAGGCACAACAACATTTAAGAGGCATTAAGCTTACTTAAAATAATAACCATTTGGAAATATCATTGTAAATCTTTATAGACAGGTTACAAGATTGTATTTTTCTAAGGGACAGAAAAAAGGACTTGAAATCATTTATGAAACAGGGAAAGGAGGGCTTGCCTCCTCTCCATTTACTGCAATGTAAAAGTATGACCTGTTTAACTCCCTATCCTTAACATGAATGGAAAGTTATTGTTTTATTTTTTCCCAATGTGTTTTCCCAGCTCACCCAGTGTCCCTAGTCAGAGTACTCCCCAGGCCGAGCGGCCCCGTGCCCTACCGCCTCACCACCATTTGCCTGGCCACGCTGTGTGCCGTCCTACTCATCTCCATCATAGCCGTCACGGCACACTGTGAGTACACACACATTATTTATGTTATTGCTGTGTGTATTAAAGTTAAAACAATACATTAGAAAGAAACCCTGTGGAGATTGTTGCTGAACACAGAGGAGACTTCAACATTTAGAAGCTGTGATGTGCCATTAAAGATATCCAAGTGCTAATTAAACACAGAAAAAAAGTGATGCACGTTTGAAAACTTTAAAATAGGCAAACGTTCTTATGTGGTAGCAAATGCCATCTTAATGCTGGTTAGGAAAAGAACATACATCGTTTTGTGATCCCTTTTCTGTTCAAAGACTACAAATATTTGTTTCATATTTATGTCATGTTGTGTTTTATATCTCTCAACTATGATCTTTTCCACATATTTGTATACGCTAGTAAGTGTTCATGCTAATCTAGTAAACAAGAATACGTTTGTTTAGTAATTTGAGAGCTATGTGAGGAGTAAAACATTTTTATATTTCGCTTTTTCTGCATTCCTTTTACCAAGGAAACACCATTTGAGTTCCTTTGTATTAACCTCATATTTATTTAATGTAATAATGTTGAGGGTATACTCCTATACTTATACCACATTAACTGTCAACACAGTTGTTTGATAACTGTTGACAATCTTACAGCACCAGCAAACATTTCAGGAGACTAGTCAGGAAGATATAATACAAAATAGAATTTGGTGACACGCTTGTGATGAAAAAAAAGCAGAAGCAGTGAGTTAAAAATTGCAGAATGAACAGTTTCAGGAAAGATAAAAGAGGATCCAGTGGTTAGAGCCTTGCAACATTGTTTTTTCAGGAACATTTGCCTGATTTGTTTTTACATATAAAGCGTGTGTGCGTTGAAATAGTCAGAAGGCTGATGAGCTGCTTTAAAGAGCCCGTTAGATTTACTGCTGCCAGCTGAGCCAGAGTGAGACTTCAGGGTGAAGTGATAAGAAGTCTGAAGTGGACATTTTCAAAGTGATACAAGTGCTGTAGATACATTAAAACACACTAGGTCAAATACATAGATTACTTTTTTATTTGGATAATTTTCCCGATTTGAGAGTACTTTTTCTAAGAATATACAATTAAAATGTAAGACTTTTTGGTGAAAAACGCATTTCAGGGGATAAAGAAAACACATTTTAACTTTACCTTAACTTCAAAATATTATTTTTTCTCATCCATTAGGTAGAAAGTTTAAGGGAAAGTATAACTCAGTTAGTGTTAACTGTCTGCGGCTTCATAGTCCCGCTAAAAATCTGACCAAAGAGCTGACGTTAACTGAGGTTGCATATGATTAAAATACTCTATGATGCTTTCAATCTATATTTAGTAAAAAAGAGTATAACTAAGAATAGATAACTTCATCAAGATAGGATTCAATGCTTGCAATCTTGCAAAAATAAAGCTTTTTGTTAAACCAATACAGCTGTTGAAGGATATGTTTTCACAGCAATATAAAATATGTATTAGAGAGGTCATTGTAATCCTGATAAACATCCTAATACTAGCTCCAAGTAGCTTTTAATATAAACTACAAATGCCAAGATATTTTTTAATAAAAGCAAATATTTGACATTTTTTTAAATGCACTCATTTATCAATTAAATAGTGTGTGTGTTTTTTCAATAGCTTTCAGAGGACATTGACAAAGTAAAAGGACTAACTGTTACTAGTATTATATATTTACAACAGTTTTTGACTTTTTACACTTTTGGTACAGTAGAAATCATTTATCTGGACAGTGTTCTTGAACGTTGAATAAGGGCCATATTTAGAAAAGATTGTCCACCTACCCATAATTCCTGGTGGCTGGCCTTAAACACCCCAATTAGGAAAATACATCCGTGTGGCGCACCGTAGTCTTGTTGGGTGTGAATTTTCTTCTAAAATCCTTCCTTAAAGTGAATTGATTACATGAACTATATGTATGAACCAGCAGTCCATCATTCCATATGTTCCACAGATAAGAACAAGCTGCAGGGCGGGGGTGAGGCGACCTCAGAGGTGCAGAAGCAGACGCAGGGCGGAAACATGTCGGCTCTCACCGCCTCCATCAGCAAACTGGAGCAGGAGAAAAACCAGCTGCAGAAAGAGAAGGACGAGCTGCTGGCCAAACTGGCTACCAAGACGTACACTAAAGGTAGTTCCATCAGGAAAGACTTCATTTTTTGGTTTAAAGAACATTTATTGACACATGCGACATATGATAAATGTTAAAAGTCATAGACCCCGATCCTGAAATCGTATATCTAAAGGGGGAAATTCAGCCGTGAGCATAGGAACCCCGGGGTCTAGACACTTGGTCTAGACCAGTGGTTCCCGAGAGACCAGGAGGAAAAATGGTTATTAAAAAAAAAAAAAAAAAGATTTAAAAAAAAAAAATCATAATTTGAAAAATTATTGATTCGAAAATAATATGATACAGTACAGTAATATTACGTCTGGGTCTCTGTGTTTCATTAAAGCTTGGCTCTGTGTGTGTGTGGAACGAGCCATTTTGTGTGCGTGCGCGAGCGAGAGAGAGAGAGCGCACCGGTACCGGATATCGTTGTTGTTAGCTTCTGGTGCTAGTGAGCTACGCTAACGGATATAAGGAGTTTTTTCAACAACAAAGTGGAGGAGAGTCCTCTCTTGTCAGACTGAGAGACTCAGTGAGCTAAAGGACTCTCTCAGTGTTTTCTCAGTGGGTCTCAAACGTTTTGGTCACCATCAGTGGCGTCGCCTGGCCTGGGCATCCGGGGCTTTAGCCCCGAATGTTTTTTCTGTAGCCCCGGACAATTCTCCCTCAATAATATAATACATTAACCGTGCTTTACGTGAACCTCATCATGACACAAGAGAGGACGGCAGCACTGTAATTTCCGTGTTCAGTGAATGCAACAGAGGCATGACACCAGACCAATCAAAGAGTTGCATGGAAATAAACGTGTGCTTGTGTCATTCAAGCTCGGCTCTGTGTGTGTGTGTGGCAATAGCGCATTTAGTGTGACATAAGGAGCTGTTTGTTCCACAACAAGCTGGAGGAGAGTCCTCTCCTCTCAGACTGAGAGACTCAGGTGAGCTAAAGGACTCTCTGAGTGTTTAGATAGTTAACTTTAGTAAGTTATCTCAGTGGGTCTCAAACGGTTTGGTCACAAATTATTCAAAAGATTATTTCCGCGGCACACCTTCATATGATCATTATAGTTATTAAAAAAAAGAGAATAAAGGAAAAACAGTTATGAAATACTATATGGCAGTAAAACAAGAATAGAGTTTAAAAGGGGAGTGATTCATAAAATATCCATAAAGAAAAAGTACATCTGTTTACAGTTCTGCTCCATATGGGTGTTGAGAGAGGTATCCATAGATCTCTTCATTTTGCTCTCAAAGTGCACCAGATTGATGCATTTAACTTCAATATTTAAAAACAAATCTTCCCGGGGGAGCATCCCCCCGGACCCCCCTAGAGGAGGTGAGCCCCCCACTCATAAAAAATACCACTTTACCCCTGCCTATATGCCGTGAGCTGATTATCGAGCCTTCATTGTAACAGTCGCGGGTGTACTGTGTGTGTGCGTGTGGGGAGTGTTGCAGTAAAAAATGCCACTGTAGTGCCGCCGCCACTGTGGGCTAAGCCCCGAATGTTTTCAGGTCCAGACGACGCCCCTGGTCACCATTAATGTAAACAATTATTTCCGAGGCACACGTTTATATGATCATTATAGTTATAAAAAAATAAGAGAATAAATGAAAAACAGGTATGAAATACTATATGACAGTAAAACAAGAATAGAGTTTAAAAGGGGAGTGATTTGTAAAATATCCATAAAGAAAAAGTAAATCTGTTTACAGTTCTGTTTCATATGGGTGTTGAGAGAGGTATCCATAGATCTCTTCATTTTGCTCTCAAAGTGCACCAGATTGATGCTTTTAACTTCAATATTTTAAAAATAAATCTTCCCGGGGGAGCATGCCCCCACACACCACCTATAAAAATAGCACTTTACCCCTGCTTACACCTATATGCCGTTAGCTGATTATCGAGCCTTCATTGTAACAGTCGCGGGTACATTGTGTATATGCGTGGGGATTGTTGCAGTCGAAAATTCCACTGTAGTGCCCGGTACATTAATGGGAAACCCTAAATGTTTGAGCACCCTCTATGAAACGTCAAGCTACCCCACAGCACCCCCAAAATAAATCTCTGGCGCCGCCACTGAGCCTGACTTGTGTTGGGGGGGCCCGACTTTTTTTTTCTCCAAAGGGGGGGCCTGACAGAAAAAGTTTGAGAACCACTGGTCTAGACACTTGTGGTGATGTTGAAGGTCTGGATTTGATGAGGAGAAGGGATGAAGAGGAGGTGTGATGAGGTCTTTAGATTAGCTCTCCTGGCACTGGATGTGATGAAAGGAGGTGGATGAGGTGGAGGCGGCAGCATGAACACCTGAAATCACAGCTGACTGCAGGAGAGTGGAGAACCATTTTAAAGTTTTGACTCCGAACAAGCAGCAAAAACTAGAATTTTCACCGTTATTAACTTGTGTTATAACATGTAGGCCTAAGTTTTAAGTTTTGGCTATAGGCTGTTGCTGAGTAATGCAAAAGTAATGTAAAGAGTAATGTAACTTTATGTAGAGAGTAAAGAAGTAAAGTAGTATATTACTTTTTTTTAAAGTAATGAGTAATGTGTAATACATTCTTTTTTTTTAGTAACGACCCCAACACTGCTGGAGATTGAGGTGAAATGCAATAGTTTAAAGAGAACACCCGTGATGAGCTGACAGCTGCGGGGTGAATGAATATATACCCAGTCTTCCTGAAAGAACTTGCGCTGTGCTTCATATGGCTCCATAGGTGTCAATAAGTCTCATTCCTGTAAAACTTAGGCACATTCTATCGGGTTACTATTAGAGAAGTGTGCATTTGTTCTGCTTCCTTGATGCCTAATCTCTCTCTTTCTCATCAGCTCCTGAGGTGATCAAACCGACAACAAAGGCCCCTATCGTCTGCCCCGTGGACTGGCATCTCTTCAACAGCAGCTGCTACTTCATCTCGAGAACCACAAGGGATTGGCCCGAGAGCCAGTCCTTCTGCCAGAGCAAAGGAGCTCACCTGGCCATCATCCACACAGCAGAGGAGCAGGTAGAGCTGCCAAGGGTCCTGAGGAATGCCATTACATTTTGCTTACGGGATAAAACACAATGGCATTGAAGGTTAAAGGATCGTGTTAATCTATACATATCTTACAATCAACAAATCCCCCCAAAAAAACATCAATGTGTTAACCGGTCTCTAAGAACTTTCTGACTTTCTGTCTGTGGCTCTCAGCTCCAAGCTCGATGTTTCTAACAATGTTAATATTTAAAACTCTTCACAAATATATATGTATTTTTTATTTTCTTAAGGTTTCTTAAATTACTAAAACTTGAGTACATTTGTTTGGGACTATTTTCATATTTTCAGGGGCGTATAAATTCACATTTGATGCTCTTGCAAGTATTTTGCATTTCTCTTTTGGGATATGTTGCAATAAGATAAATATACTATAATATCACAAGTCTAAAAAAACACAATCATTGAATTCAATTTAGGCGTCCTCCTCTATCAACATCCTGTCTGGTGATATATTAAAGATATGGATGAGTCGTCTCTCTAACATAGAAACACAATAAAGGAATGTGTTCCTTGAATATAATTGTATGTATATAAACAGTGTTGATCTTGAAGAAGGGACCAGCACCTCATGTGGGAACTATTTCAACATCTCCTTGTGTGTGTTTTTTCTCAGACGTTTCTGTGGAATCTTCTTCCCAGAGCTCATTGGAATGCCTTCTGGTTTGGGATCAGTGACGAGCACACGGAGGATACGTGGAAATGGGTGGATGGCACCCCGATGGTCGGAGGGTAGGTCAAAACCTTTTTCATTGGTTCCTGGGGTTTACTTGAGATAAATTAGCTCCACTACAGCGATTGTAAGTGTCAGTAAAATCATCGATCGTGCAAAGGACTAGCTAGAGCTTCTGTTAAATTGACCAGTGCTGCAGCAGAGGTACTCCCCCACATATCCATCAATTCCCGAAAGCTCTCTTCTAAAGTAATTTTGCCACTTTCTAGTATTAATCTCTACTGTCTAAAAACGTCAGCGTTTAGTCCTCTTTCATGGATACATGTTTAAACTCAATGCGACGCTCATTTACTCTGATGTTTAGCTCTGGAAGTCTTGATTCCCATAGCAAATACTATTCGTTAAAGGCCTGTAAACAAAGATACAAACAATGATATCTGGTCTTTTTCTCTGAATCCGTTTTAAAATAGTGTTTTTTTAATTTATTTTTTAAAGTCATACATCAAGCCAGCTTTAAAGTGGACCTATCATGCTATATTTAAATGATATATTGTAGGGCCATACCTATATAAGGTATATTTATACGTTTCTGTTTTCAAAATACCAAACAGATCATGCATTTTAGCCATGCCTCATTTCGCTCTATGTGCTGTTTGCTGTCTACGGGTCTGATTCTGCTGACCACGCCCCCCTGCAGGAGAGGGTAGCTGTGCTCTGATCAGCTGCTGGGCTGTCAGAAGAGGGGGAGAAAAAGAGATCTCCGTCCTCCGTGTTTTATTATATAGAGTCGTTATTCATTGTTTTAAAGCTCAATAAATAACAAAGAAGACCTTTGACCGGCACTTTTCTAATTTTGTCCGGAAGATTTAAACTTTAACGGACATCTTGACCGGCGAAAGAAACTGAAACTGAAACTCTGCGGCACGGTCCCCTCGTTCCTTGGAAGAGGCGGAGAAGTGGGTGTTTGTCATCTGCTGGTGGACTAACCGGAGAGAATTACAGTGCTTGCCTCGACGGGGAGGGATTGCATTGAATTAAAGCAGCAGGAGCAAACGCTTGCCTCGGGGAGGGACAAAAAAAGCCACAGCGGAGAATAAACAGAAGGGTAACCATGTTAACCATGGGCGGGAAGTCTTCTTCGCTGCTCTTGTGGCAGACTACAGCGCCACTTACAGGCCTGGCATATGTACTACAGCGTCTCCAGCGCTTTCGAGCAGGAATGGCCGGCCGTGGCCCAACCCCACATTCCCCTGATAGGTGGAGAGTTGGCCCAATAGCCGTAACGCCACCGTCCTGACGTCAGGACAGTGTTCAAATCTGGATCAGTTTTTATCAGATCCGTTGCAGCCCCTTTTTTAGAGATTTGGGTATGGAGGAAAATAGAGAGGGTTGTGTTTTCTGACACTTGGTGAGTTCCCTGGAACACCGGGGACACATATTCATGTATAAAAGACGTACAAAAGTGCATTTTGCATGATAGGTCCCCTTTAAATGAACAATTAGATTCAATGCAGAGTTCTTTGTTTTTTTCCCGTTAATTATCTGGTTTTAAATTCTAGACCAGGGCTGTCGAAACTTTTTTCACTGAGGGCCACATACAGAAAAATATACCAAGGGCTGGGCCCCTCACTCGAGGTGAGGTATATTTCCTCATAAATGAAGTTATAAGTTGGTAAAATCAATCGAATGTAGGTAATGCATGCTTGATACTTGAATATGCTTAAAGAAACAAACAGCCTAAATCACAAGTGTTGACAGCCCATTCCTCAAAACAGAAGCCTCAGATTTTTTATAATAAGGGGAAATATGAAGGATATATTTCAAGCTTGTTATGTAAATAAAATAAGTTATTAAGCTTTTTTTTTATCAACTAAGATTTGTTTGAAAATGTTTTTTGTCTTTGATTTACTGAATTTATTTGAAAAGTGGTCTTTATTAACTACCGTGTAATATATTTGTACATATTTAGTACAATATAAGACAAGCACAAGTTTCTTGTATGGGCCATCTTCCATTATACTTTTAGAATTAGCTGCGGGTCGCAGTTGGGCCCCGGGCCGTAGTTTGGACACCCTTGTAATCTAGACTCAGCCTTCACGAACATCTGGAAACATCGCTATGCATTGAATAAAAAACAAAACATCTTTGAACCTTCTTGTTGGTCGATTTCTAAACAATAGTCAAAGTACATGCTGTGAATACAGATATCATATATTAAACAATTGGTCAGTGCTTATACTTTAATATAGCATGAGGGACATAAGGAGTTGAATAAGCATGACGTAAAAAATAAAACACATTTCAAATGAAGTGTGCAAAATACACAAAAGCGTAATTCAAAGTGAAAAGTTGAAGAGTTGTTATAAAAGACGTGACAGGATGTGAAATGTAGCCTTGACACATGTTGAAGATTGAGGCTCTCTTAGTGCAGGCTGTCCGCAGGGTCTTAAAAAGTATTAAAAGTTGATAAATCAATTTAGCGAAAATTAAGGCTATTAAAAAGTATTAAACGGCATTTTCCAAGCTATTACATGTTGTAGCTTGTTTTCAATAAGTATATAAATTGTCCAAAGAGGTTGTATTCTACAGTTTGCCTGAATGTAATCATTGCGTAGGTGTGTAGTGTGATTCTGTGTATTTTATTTATGGCATCCCGTTGGATTTGACATCATCTGAACAGGACATCGCGCGCTCACTGCTTGATAGCGCGCGAAGGTCCGTTTACGCCGGTTGTTAAACAACATCGTTATGGGGAAATGCAAGTTTGCGTCCAAATGGTTGGAAGATAAGGAGGAAGGACAATCAATACTGTATATAGCAATTGATTGAAAATTGAAAAAAAAAGGTCTTGAAAGGTATTACATTTGACTTCAGGATTCCTGCATATACCATGTAGTGGATACATGGAGGCATGATTAGCAGTTGATCAGAGCCCAACCTTTGAGTTCTCCTTCTGGATCCACACAGTCTGTGATACACACAAACTAAGACAAACACCCACAATCAGATTATCGGACCATTGGACCTCTGCTGAGCACTGACCTCTCGCATGCCTACGCACTTTGGAGCAGTTTGTGACCTGCGAGCTGCACAGTGACTGTGGTTGTTGTGGTGGACAGGAAAGGGGAAGTAGAAGATTTTCCTGTTTCACTGGAAAATCATCCCTTCGGGGTCAGGACATTTTGGGAGGGAAAATGTTCTAAAAAAGGAAGTAAAGTTCCTGGACTCCAAAAAAAGTTTGGAAGACAAAGTTAGTTACATGGGTCCAACTTCTAACTTTTCTTAATAAAGGACAAACCCTAGTCATTGTGCCTTAAAATCATGCAGATACCAGTTTATTATTTTTAAAATGTCAGTTTGTTGGGGAAAATAGTACTGGAAGATTCCCAGGGAAATGCACATTGTATTTTCTTTTTTTTCTAAAGGTGCCCTATTATGCTTTTGGGGGTTTTCTCTTTCCTGTATTGTGTTTTGTTCGTTTTTGTGCATGTAAATGGTCTGCAATGACTAAAATCCCAAAGTCCATGCAAGAAGGGGTTTCTCTCCCAAACTCCCCCCCCCCCTGCCTGAAACACCTCCATTAGACTCCTTTGTTTAATTCCGTAACATAGTAACATCACTCAACAATCGCCCTTTTACGGCTAACGCTCCAACACAATGTAGGTGATAGATGAAGGGGCGGGACATCTCTAAGCGGTTGACCAATCATAACAGGGTCGGCCAGCTAACCAATCAGAGCAGACTGGGCTCTGGTTTTGGGTGTAAGAGAACAAAATTGCTTTTTCAACATTAAAGCACGGAAACATGTCGCAGTAGAGGCACTAAATACAAATATGAACCTGAAAATGAGCCCCCTAGGGCCAATTTGAAACATTATTTTAGGTATTTATCTATTATCTTTACTGACTCTTGACATAATTCAGATGTAACAGTGTGGTGCAGAGGTTACAGATGGTACAGAAACAATGCAGTCTTAAAGGTTCTTAATGTCCGAAGTGAGGTTGGAAGTGAGGTAGCAGCTGTAGGGAGGCCAGGATCGTGTCCGCCTGCTGACTGCAAACAGCAGCTCTGAGGAGCGTTATGTAACTGCTGCAGGGGGTTGCACTGCATGTGACCCTGACCTCTGACTGTTCAATGGAAAACAAATGGAGTGTGGAAGGAAACATCTTTGCTTAAAAATGCAAAGCCATCTTAATCTTCTATTATGTCTTGGACCAGTGTTGATATTCTGTGACTTTTTTTGTGCCAACTCAACATGTTTTCTAATAATCATCTGATTTCTCTTCCTCATTTTGATAATGACTAACCTTTTATCATACCTCTTTTGGCCCCTAACATCCCTCAACATCCTCCTTTCCTGCTGAGATGTTTCTTTTTTCTTCCTCGTGTTTTTCTGGCTCGAATCTGTGTAATATATAACCTTTTTCCTTAAATCTTGAGCCACTTGTCATGCGTCTGCCGCTTTTATGTTTTTCTGCTGACAGCTTTTCTGGATAGATAGTGTTAAATTCTGTGGAATTACTATGTGTTTTTTTCTTCATGGGCACTGCCTGACAGGAACAATGAAGCACTGCACATCTCCACATCTCTTCTTTCAACGTTGCTTCATAAAAGACAAATGACTTTTAAACAGCAATTTAACAACTTCCGATGCATTCATGTATTCTGTAAAGTTGTGCACAGAGCCTTGCGATGAAAACAGCTAGATGGTTTTGTTTTATGGTTACCTTCCTGCTAACTTGCGCCACTAAAGACAGCTGTCCTCTGATCCAATCAAGTTTGCCGCTCTCTCCGTAGAAATACAATGGTAGCGTCAGAGCAGAGCCGTTTAACTGGTTGTGTTTATGGATTCCTTTTAATATATTGTTGACCACGGTGATTTTTGTCTTGTTTTCTTTCTACATACTAGTTTTTGGGAGGATGGCGAGCCCAACAACCACGTCAACGAGGACTGTGGCTACATTGTGAAAACACAAGTGATGGAACGGGTAGCGATCCGCAGCTGGTATGACGCTCCCTGCACCATGTACTGGCTGTTCATCTGTGAGAAAGAGATGGTCGCAGGCGCCAGTACCGCTATGCCACACTGACACGACAACACCACTCTGATCGTCCGGGAAACAAGTTGACCATTTTGAGTTTCTCAACTGCACCCTTTGCATCTTAAACCCTTATTAGGTCTGACACAATCAAGTCAGATATTTTAACACATGTTTACAGGAGAAACATGAGAGTAATGAAATGTCTTGTTTTTTGAACTTCTTAATTTGGAACATAGGCAAGAGTGGTCCTATCTGTACGAAATAGCCCTTAAAAGTGTCCTTGAAATGGGTTTACAGTAGTACGAAGAAAATGAAAAGCAGCTGTGATCTGTTGCAGTTACCTTAAAAGCTTTTTTCATACTGAGTTTAATCTTTACATATTCCATGATTTTTCTGGTCAATACAATACATAATTTAAAAGAATGTAAATGTGATTATTATAGGCTTATTACTTTTTAGGTCTGTAGAACTCAAATAAACTAGAAAGCTGAGAGAGAGCTGACCTCTGCCAAGGTCATTTCCATTGGTAAGAAAAAATCTGATCAGCTCAGAAATGTAAGAGGTTCTTCCTTGGCCGATACTACACCAAGCTTTATGGCAATCAGGCAAGTGGTTTCTTCCTGCTGATCAACAGACAAACAAATCAAAACAAACTCACAAATGACTTCCTTGGCGAAGGAAATAAACAAAAAAGAAGTAATGGATTGTATACAATAGATTGTAGGACCTGACATCAGGTCAGCTAATACATCCAGTTATGATTGAAAACCTTTTGATTATAACTGTGAACTAGAATGTATTTTAGAGGCAACACAGTAAGAGAAAATGCTTTCTGCTGCAATATTGTACTGCCAATTGATCTGTCAACGAGTATCAGGAGTATCAGATTATAATGTAAATGTTCTCCTGATATTAAATCATCTTTTAATACATTGTAATCATCTAGAATGTATTAAAAAGTAGAAATGCTAAGCTGGAAGTCAGTGGCTGTTTCTGAAGCCTCGGAGCAGAACTGTGGTGCTGCCATGACTTATACTACCAAAGGTGTTACCTATGTATCAGTGCCTAATACCACTTAAATCATATTATATTCTTATATTACTTTTGTCTATAGATCAAGGATTCAAGATTGATTTTTCTTTATATTTGAAATGGGTTTTATTAGCAATAAATACTGTTTATAATAGATTTATATTTGCTGTACATAGTGCGAGTGTCATGACGTTGATTGTGAATCAGTATGATTGTGTGATGCTTTCATTTTACAAGTGGGAGGGTCAAAACATGTAAGCTGCTTTGTTGATGGAAACTTTTTAATTGTTAATCACATTATGCAGAAGAGTGTCCTGTGGATCTTGTAAATAAATATGAAAGATAATTGTTTATCTTAATTTCTCAGATTGTATAACTTGTGCAATTCTCATCATGAAAAACACAAATGTATGTTGATTAAAAAAACTTTACTTTGCTATGGATTTTTGCTATGGATTTGTTTTTGTAACAGTATCATTTGCATTACATGTTGCTCAAAATGTTCCCACTTTTCTATTGTTAGTGATAGTTATTATTATTTAAGTACTGAATAATTGTATTACTGTTGCTCTTTATCTTTCCTAATCTTCATTTGTTTGCACTAAACTGCTGTAATAGTGAAATTAAGTACTCAATCTATAATGTGCGAACCTTCGGAGAAAAAAGGAGGAATACAGAGGTTGTTCAATTGTATTTAAAATTGATATTCAACATGTTTACTCCTTAAAATATGGTTTACTGACAGGGCTAAACGCGATACATCGGCCCAAAACACTTCCATTAGGAGAAACATGCTGCAGTTTCTAAAACAGTAGATGTGCCATAACACATGCAAATGTGAAAACATCTTCACCAATTTGACGAAACATGAGCGTTTACAAAAGACACTGTAAATAGAAAACTCTGCAAGAAGCTAAAAACACAACTGCAACATGGACACAGCTGGGACTGGAGCACTTGTTGAACTTCAGGAAAATACACACAGTTATTCAGTTGTGTATACATCTATATTAGCAAGTGTGCAGACACAAACTCCTACAAAAAGCTAATTGATACTTCCTTTTCAGATGTCCAAAAGCTTTCATTAGTAATTATGTTGTTGATTTCTTGAAACTCCTAAACAGCCAATCAGAGGTGGGAGAAGTACTCAAATATTGTACTTGAGTAAAAGTAGAAGTACCAGAGTGCAGTAACTGTTACAAGTAAAACTCCTGCATTCAACATTTTACTCAAGTAAAAGTACAACAGTATTGGCATCAAAATATACTTAAAGTACCAATTGTGCAGATTGGTCCCTTTCAGAATAATATATATATGATATGTTTCATAATTATTGATCATTAAAGTGTTATCAAAGCTGGTAAAGGTGCAGCTAGTTTTAATGACTGTATACTGCAGGGTAGCTTTTTGAATTTACTCCAGGTGGAACTAAAGTCTGATTTAAGGGTTGATTATATTTCACATCATTCATCCAAATCTGTCAAGTAATTTACCATTTACCTCTGAATTGTAGTAGAGTAGAAGTATGAAGTAACAACAAATTTAAATACTCAAGTAAAGTACAAGTATCTCAAACGTGTACTTAAGTACAGTACTTGAGTAAATGTACTTAGTAACTTCCCACCTCTGTAGCCAATATTTAAAAGAAAACACATTTGAAGATTATGCAATGAATACTAACGGGTATGATTGTGAAGTGGGACTTAATTCGATAAATGAATAAAACAACTCATCTTCATGAAACGTGATTTGAGGGTGTGTAAAGTCTCCTCTAATGTTTCCTTGTTGTGATTGTTGTTGTTGTTGTTGTTGTTGCCCAGCAGCAGGTGGCAGTCAAACTGTTAAATACATGGGATCCTGCAGGTCACATGTAAAGACAGCACAATGGAAGAGAAGGAAACAATTACATTCTTCATGATAAATGAGTTAGATGTTTTTCAGCCAATTGAATATTTAAATGAGAAAGTGTTAGTGCCTGAATAGAACAAAATAGATCATGTATTTGCAGGATCACACAGACATATACAGGGTCAACAGGCTTTCAGCTATTATTGTTGTGTTTTGGAAACCAAATCAGGCTACTGCATTTGAAAGTCCTTCTTGTAAGAATTAAGGAAATAAAAGGAAATACATCTATTTATTTGATGTTATGATTAACTCCAATCCGGCTAATGTACAAGAAGAAAATTATTGTACATACAAATATAGAAGGGATTTCTTCTTAGAACAAAATGTATGGGAAAACTTTGACCTATTCTACCTTGGAAAGCTACATAGTCCCCCTCAGGTTGTTAGATTGTTCTTCTTAAACCTTTTTTAAGAAGAACAATTGCAACTTTATTATTTTAAAGGTATACAGAAAAAGAAAAAAACGTCCACACATCCCCAAAATATTGTATTTGGGGATGTTCAGCTTTTCTATACGTATGTGGTATTATTTCTCAAATATGTATTTGGTGTGTTTCCCTTTTGTAAATTAACAGCTTTATAATGTTTTTTATGTCAATGCACTTTGTTAAAACAAGTCTCAAAAAAGGGGTGCAGTGATGACTTGTTTTTGCAGGCCAAACCCAGAGGTTAGCATCGTCATGGTTCCCGCGACAAAAAGCAATCTTATTGGATTCCGTATTTGGAAGAAAATAAGCTGGGGCCAACGCACGTTTATGATAATTAACATGTTTTCTACAGCAGGATAATCTCCACATACCACAGTATTAATACACATTTTTGATTTTTTTAACCATAAGTGCAACTGGCAGCAATAAGAAGCTAACGTATTGCTATAAACGAACTACATCACAGTCACATGGCTACGCTTCAGAGATTCGTAAGTGGAGTTTTTACTTTTATTTTGTGTCTGAGAACAAAACGTGCAAATCTCTTCAGCTTGTGTTAACCACAGACCTTATTTCAGGCTTTTAGCCACAAACAAGTAAAAAAAAAACGTTGACTTTAAGACAAGGGAATCAGGAAGTGATGAAATGCTGAGGCTCTTTCGGGTTTTAGGACTCATTACTTCATCACCCTTTTTCCCCCCTAAAGTTTTGTCTCTTCTTGGCTGGAAGACCTACATTCTGATTTCTATGTCTTCTCGTCCACTTCTTCTCCTATGAAAGTGGGCCGAGAAGTTGAGTGGATGTGTAGAGGGGTTTGTTTTGTGTGCGGTTTGTACTCCTTCCTCCTGAGCTCGTTACCACAGGGAGTAATCGGGAAGTCAGCAAGCCTTCTTCTGTCACACTTCATTAGCCCGGATTACAGGCCGGCACTTAGTGCGAGCGCGAGGGGAAGGAGGAGCCCTCAGGCCCTCCTCTCACTCTGTGTAATATGTCCAATCAGCAAATCAAACAGTGGAACCATTTTTTGTTTTAGGAATCCTTAAACAAGACATCTCCATCAGAAGTATAATCAACAGAAAAGGCGACAACAATTGACAAAATCCCCAAGTGGTCACGACTTGTAAAATCAGCGGTACTGTCTCCAGTAAATATCCCTTGTCTGAAATTAAACAAACAAATGTTTTTAATCATGATGTAGAAAGAATTGTGCACTCTTTATTTCAAGATTCAAGAAAGAAAGAAAGTTTGTTGTTGTTGTGATTCAAATTCTCAATTATGCAAACTCATAATAACGACTCAGCGACTCACCGATATTTCACTTCCATCATTCCTCCTGTTCGCCGGCCTTTATAGGATAAAGAAATAAATGGGGATACAAATATTTTAATTGAATGACACAAAAAGGATTGAAGAAAGGCTTGTTCGAAAGCAATGGTGTAAAGTAACTAAGTGCATTTACTCAAGTACAGTAGTTAAGTACAATGTTGTACTTTACTTGAGTATTTCAGCCTAATGCTTCTTTGTACTTCTAACCCACTACAATTCAGAGGTAAATTGTGTACTTTTACTCCACAAAATGTATTTTGTACCTTTAGTTACTTTAAAGATTTGGATGAATGATGTGAAATATAATCAACTCTTAAATCAGACTTTAGTTCCACCTGGAGTAAATTCACAAGCTACCCTGCAGTATACAAAGTCATTTAAACTAGCTGCACTTTTACCAGCTGTGATAACACTTTAATGATCAATCATTATAATCAAAACATGTAATATATATTATTCTGAAATGGACCAATCTGCAGAATGAGTACTTTTACTTTTGGTACTTTAAGTGTATTTTGATGCTAATTATTTTTCACTTTAACTTGAGTAACATTTTGATTGCAGGACTTTTACTTATAACAGAGTATTCCTATGGTACTTCTACTTTTACAAGACTACATAGATCTATGTAGATCTGTGTTTAAAGACAAATCTAAAAAGTTGAAACTGAGTTTGATAAATAAAAAGATTAAATAAAGCTAAAATGATAATAATAACAATAAAATCACAAATTGCATGCCAGTAAATAGGCTACATAAGACAAACCATTGTGCATGCGTACAATATTATAACAATAATACTAACACTTTGTGATATGTATGTAATGTATAGCGCAAAGTTATAGTATCTGTTTATGACATTTCATAGAAGAAGTGTGGAATGTGTCTCTTTACAATCAAAGACATAAATGTCCTCACAGTAAGGAAGCACAAATATGGCATGTGTGCACTATATTTATGGGAATTGCATAACATGACTTAAATATACTATATACTAAAAAGACAGAACACATGGTTCTTAAAGGACCTTGCAGCCTTTTGGTTTATGGAAAGAAGCACAGAGCCAAGCAGGGCGGCTAACAGTGATGTCGCAATATGGCGTCACCAGGCCTGAGCTAACAGCCTGAATCAATTACTAAAAAAAGAAATGGTGCAAGGTGAGGCTTATTCTAAAAGTCCCCATTAGAGGAGCCCATCAAACTTCACTGATGATCTCAGCGTAATGCATGAGGGCAAACGCAGGATTATCAGGATATTCAGCCAATGAGGAGAAGACCTGTGGAGCTGCAGTGTAGTAACTAGGCTAAACTGCCTGAGGCTGAGCAGAGGGGTTAACATTTCCCAAGTGTTCACACGTCTTAAGAGGACAATGTGCCAATTGGCACATTGTCAGATATCTCTTTGAAAGGTCAAATAGTGTCTGAATATCACTTTGGAGGTTTTAGTGTCTCGTTGGGCATACAAACTGATGCAACACATTCTTTGCATCGCTTGACCTTGACATTGTCAGTGATTTTTCATCATATGCAGTCCTGTCATAACAAAAATACAAGGGTGACTAAGAAAAAGCATTTGTAGAAATAATGTAGAAACATGTTGTGCTTGGAATTAGAAATGAAAACCCAGCTTCGATATCTTCCTGATAACATTCAGAATGAGGTTGGAAATACATTTTCATTTATAATTGTTTTGTGTGTCTGCTCCATCACTATAGATCAGGGGTGTCCAGACTACGGCCCGGGGGCCAAATGCGGCCGCGGACCAGTTTGAATCGGCCCT